TTAAATCTTAATGTTGGTTTGGGTTGTTCCCTTGATGATGGAATTTGAAAAAATAACCTCTTTACATTTTGTTTGACCATGATCAAAAGTATTGTAAAATGTCAATTTGAAACAGTTCCTTTTCCTCTAACATTGAAACGTCAATATGTTATGATTAATCTTATTTAGGCATCTTTAAAACATGATCACTCACTGACACTCAGTATAGAATCTTTCAGTTGAATCTTGTAGCTCTGTCAATACATGCAGATTGGATTGTTATAGATATAGAGCTTCTTGAATGGGAGTAAATGTATTATTGGATGATTTATGAACCACCACCCAATGAAAAGAATAAAAGAGCGATGTTTAAGTCCGTGCACACCAATTCTTGATCCTATACGGGATACTTCTTAGATAACAAACAAGCTTTCTTTATAGTGACCGGAAGAAACTACAGTATGGTTACCATACCAATCTTTGCAGCTGTTGATAGTATCTGTGGCGTATTGAAGCGGTAATTGTTTGGCAATCTCCCTCTCTGGCCATAAAAAAAGATGAAAAATTCATTCTACTTTCAGTTTCAAAACCATGTTAAATGTATTCTCTGACTTCCTACATAAGAACATTTTCGAACTGTAAAGGTTGGATGCCCCCAACCCCGTCAATGAAATCCTTGCTACAGTATTATTTCTGCCTCTTGTTGGCCTTCAGACCTCCAGCCGCTGATGTGTATATCGGTTTTTACTATGAGCTTTGATAAATCGGTTTGGACAGCCACACGTTCCTTATCACAGCAAGCAGCGAAACAAAACCTAAAATTATCAATATGAAAATCCTCACATGAAGAAACTTCAATGATCGTTTTTAACATTTCATTAGATTCAATTATTACTATTTAAAAAAACATTTATCTTAGAAAAATTGCTGTGTTGAAATGGTCTGTAAATAATCGTTTTGATGCTGTAATCAATCTGTGGATTATTGATATGAAAGGTTTGAACAGTTTGAACAAAAAAAAAAAACAAAAATCAATTTTACAGACCAGCTGTTTCCAGATTTATCAAAGTATTTTGATAACGGAACTCATGGCTTTCTTGGGCTACTCGTACAGATCTTACTGATTTTCGATAACGTAACGCAAGTTTATGGTTTAAATATATATCTATCTCTTGAGTTTTATTGTAAGAAGGGCTGACGTGAAAAAAGCGTCTTGTCGTTCGGATGAAGAAAAGTTGGACGTAAAACTCCATTCATGTTAATAAACAACGTTTCTACAATTTACATTTTTTTCACATAATACATTAACCAAGAATTATTTTAGCTGCTGTCGATGTGTTTTTCAAATCCATCATTTACCGAAAAACAAAAACAAGATAAAATTTTCTTGTCAAAAATTGTGTGTTTGTTTCTAAGACGATAGTGTCATGCAATTGAAAGTTATTTGACACCAAATCTACGAAACATTTAAAAATTAGATCAGAAGATAACTCTCTAAACGAAATTTTCTTCTCAGTTTAAACTTTTTATGTTGAATATCAAAGACTCTATGCGATAGCATCAAAATCATTTGGTGACAGGATTCAAGCTAACAGCAAAATGTTTAGGAAAAAATACTCAAGTTGTTGCATTATCAGTTGAAAATTAATTTACCAGTGTGACTTTATCAAATCAACTGTTACATATTACTATTAAATCTTCTAAGGCGGTGTTGAAGTGGAAGAAATAGGGAGTTTTATAATCCAATTTTCTTGGCGTCGTTAAAATTCTAAAATTTATTTACATGACTGAAACATCAAGAATGATGAGAACGTGCACACAGTTTGTGTAGGCTGAAAGAATTCTATAGAAGTGGAATAAAAATAACGGAAGATTATAAATTCTTTCCAATCTATAATTAGTCATACATTTTAAGGAAGAATTTGAAAATTCCATCTGTTTAGTTGTAGTTGTGGCCAATCCAGTTAAATTTTGATTCTCAATTCATAGGAATTCGTAGTAATTTAAAATGTCCCAGTTGTTAACTTCAGAATAATCTTGCAAATGACGTTTTTAACTTAAGATTATAGCGTTGCCTAAAATTCCAGTTTTGGCAGAAATATATACAATTTAATTTGATTCGCAGATCGTCGTGTACATATTTATATTTTGGCTAATCACAGAAAATGTTGGATCGCAAAAGGGGTCATTTTGAGTAGCAAACTACGATGCGATACCACCTAAATTGAATCCTGCCAGCACATTACCTTGAGCATGACTTTGTCAGAAACTAAAACATAATTTTAATAAACCTTTTTAAATCATTTTTAATCTGCAAGAACAGAACTAGAAGAGCATTCATAGTTACAATGGAAGTTGTTAATTGAAAATTTGAATCGCCATCGCAGTAATGGGTAAAAGGCTCTCATCACAAGCTGTTATCTGCTACGAAAATTTGTCATCTACCGATCAACCATCTGTTAGGTATATCCTTACAACTTAAACATACAACTGATACTCATATTATTGCAGTTTAAAACAAACTTTCCTCTGAACCCGTGAACGTCGAAGGTGGGCGTTTCATGACGATGCTATTACTAAGTTTAACCTTGGTAGTAATTTCGTGAACTTTCCGTTTTCTGCTATAATCACTTAATAACACAGTATCAGCCCAAAGCATGATAGTCTGGACCAAATCATAATGTTGGCATTGCTCTTAAACTACACTTAACCACTGAATTATGAGATAAAAAATATGGTAAAGACGGTCTAATTATAATGTGAACGGGTTCATTTACTCTATTTCTGTGGGATTCCGGTCAGATTGAAATTAGAAGACTGGCCAGAACTCAGATCTATCATTATATCTCTAATCTTTATAACTCGCAGTCAATCGACAAAACTAAAACCATTAACTTATAAAGCCAACATAATGCTGTTTACATTACCGAGAGAATGAATCAACACACTCTTGAGATTGATGTTAATTTCTCGACTTTGTTCGATTCCGCTGGTTTTTAACAGTGTATTAAAGCTTCGGGGCTTTGTCAATGCACCTTTTATAAGTTAACATAACATTGTAGGAAGTGAAACCTAATAATTTGATTACACTTTTGTCATCAGAACCTCTTATAGAGGGCATATCCAGAAATGTAATAACATCTGAAACAAGTATCGAAGGCACAGTGGCGGCGCCAGTGTGAGTGCCGCTTCCCCACTTTAGACAAATGGTTTGCACCCTCTAACGTACACCTACTTAACAAATATAAAAAAAGTTATTTTTATCCGTTTTGCCTTATTCTTAAGTGTAAGAATTCTCCAAAACATCCAATTTTTCAAACATTTTCCGACTGTGACTCCTCTACAGATGTGCGCTTTTTGAATTTAACTTCGACAACCTTTACCACCCTCCCCCACCGGTCCATTGAGTCAGTCCGCCTCCTATTATACCCCCAGTCTCGGAATGCTGGCGCCGCCACTGTGAAGGTATGAGACGAATGTTAATTTATAAATAATTAAAAACGGGTTTAGAATTTTTTAAATTTCGTTACGCTATAAATCTAGTTTTTCAAAAGCAATGCTACGGTTTCTAATTTCTGAAGTTAGACAAAGTATTATAACAATATTTAATTCAATATCACTTCAAGGTCGAACTCTTCGTCCAGATTTGTTCTCTCAACCTTGATGCTTTTTAATGTGGTTTGAAAATATAATGCAAGTTACAGTCACAGAAATATAATGCATAGAAAAGGGGTCACAGAATTATCATAGGAGAGGGAGGGGGAAGGAGGTGGACTCACGCCACTGGTAAGTAAGTCTAGTGTCTTTTATAATGGCACACTGACACGAACCAATATTCTCACACTTCGTTCTATAGGAAATCGTTTCTTATCATGTAGGTAACTGTTCCGAGTTCGCTTCATTTACGTAACGAAACTACTCAGCATGTCTTTAGGCGGGCATTAATTTCCGTTCGGCTTTGTAGTGGGATTTCTTGAACGGAAGTTGTACCACTATATGAGTATCTTTACCAGAATTGAAAGAGATTTGATGGTGTCGAATAAACAATCATCTCATATATTACCCTTTAACTAAATTCGTTCATAAAAAAGTATTCATACTAACGAGGTTTTTAATGGTGCTTTGATATGAATTGAATAAAATCCGAAAACATGATACTTTATATCAACAAAAATGTATACCTTTCGGCAAAATTATAACCAGTTACAGTTACAGCACCTACATACAGGTTAAGTCATCATTGTCAGGGACTATGATTCTATTCTATTTCCCAGCACCATTTAAATGAACACACACCGACAATACTGTACTGTATACAAATACAATATACATTATACGTCCTCAAACAGCGACCTTACTCTCTCCTCATCTTAGTTTCTTATTGATATATCATATATTCATCTGAGAAAGTTGATCAAAGCTTTAAATAAAAGCGAGTGGTATAAGAAGGGAATTTTTATATGACCACACGCAAAGGCATTAATCTGAATAAAATATACCATGAGGTGGACATTTCAAAAAGCAACATCTGCATTTTGAACATTTGAACTTGGATTTTAACTTTGTTTATCATTAATCCTATTGACTTTCTCAGATGAATTTAAAACATTGTTACAAAATTAAAGAAAAAATATTTTATCCTACATTAAATCAAAGAGCACTATACTCTACGTTATATTGTGTTTACCCCTGCATAAAAGAAGGGGAGGGGGACACGGCCCTCTACGGAAACTTTTGAAGCTGTTAACGTTTTGTAATCGGCTTTAATCGCCTACGATGTTATATGGTATCTAAACATTGCCATAATTTGATTTTGGGACCACAAAATACTACTGTAGTGATAGACCTATAATTCACAAAGAGTGAACAGTACCATCTTTCTTGTTTTGTAATTATACTAATTACTAGTTACTCTGAAGATTACGTGAATTAATATCAAAACCTCAGCAAGCCATTTTGTCACATATTACACGTGTATTACACAATCTGTCTTTTCTATATTTTCAGGTAAGAAAGTAACAATGGCTGCCCGAAAACATGAGCTGGTTTTAGTGCTAACATCCGTGTTATGTTTTGTGTCATCAATTGTTGGAGATCCAAATGTGCCCAGTGACTCACAAGATAATAGTGCTTTAACTCAAGACGATTTTGCAAAGCGTGGCATGGATAAATTTGGATTTGCAGGAGGTGTGGGGAAACGTGGATTGGACAAATTCGGATTCACTGGACAGCTAGGCAAACGGGATATGGATTCTTTCGGTTTTGCAGGTCAATTAGGAAAACGAGGACTTGATCAATACGGATTTACTGGCCAATTGGGAAAACGAGGATTGGACCAATATGGCTTTACCGGTCAATTGGGAAAACGAGGATTAGACCAATATGGCTTTACCGGTCAATTGGGAAAGCGAGGATTGGACCAATATGGCTTTACCGGTCAATTGGGAAAACGAGGATTGGACCAATATGGCTTTACCGGTCAATTGGGAAAACGAGGATTGGACCAATATGGCTTTACCGGCCAATTGGGAAAACGAGGACTTGATCAATATGGTTTTGCTGGACAGTTAGGCAAACGAGGTTTGGACCAATATGGCTTTACCGGCCAATTGGGAAAACGAGGACTTGATCAATATGGTTTTGCTGGACAGTTAGGCAAACGAGGTTTGGACCACTATGGTTTTGCTGGACAATTAGGTAAACGAGGATTGGACCAATACGGTTTTGCTGGACAGTTAGGCAAACGAGGATTTGACCAATTTGGTTTTGCTGGACAATTAGGCAAAAGAGGATTAGATCACTATGGTTTCGCCGGACAATTAGGAAAACGTGGACTTGACCAGCTTGGATTTACAGGGCAGCTCGGTAAAAGACAAATGGATATTTTTGGGTATAGAGGACAATTGGGAAAACGTCAAAGCATCGATAAATACTCATTTTTAGGAGCTGGAATAGGAAAACGATCAGTGAAAAATACGGTAAGGCTAATTTTTTTTCTGTTTTGAGGGCCGTAAACTTAACGGTTATTTTACTATACCATTTGATCTAGTCCGAACATCTGCCTCTATTTCAGCCTCTGATGGATTTTTTGACAGTAGTCGGCTGGAGTAGAGTCATGAAGATTTTCCACACATCCAAAGACGCGTTTTTTCTAACATAATATTGAATTACCTTTACAATGACTCTAAATAAGTGTTGACCATTACCGTAACATTCGTTTTGTTAGTATCACGTGAGTATGTGACCTTCGACCTTTTGGCTGCGCACGCAGTTTTAACTGGTCGATGTGATATCAGTTTTGTTAAGACGTGACATTGATGGTGTAGGGAGAAAATGATAGTATGACTGAACTACTAAAATATTTATCTTTCCAAATATATCTTGGTATTGCAGATATCTAAATAGGTTTAAAACCCCCGCACCTGTGGAGATGCGGAATGTCCACATTTAACAGGGCCTATTTTTCTGTCTCGTCACTAGCTGACATCTGTTCAAATAGCTATCAGAGGCTGGAATAGAGACAGATGTTGCGGTCTACATTTGATAGATGATAAGGAACCGTTTAGAGTGGTGTATTTTTGAATTATATGAATCGTAGTACAAGGGCTAGCCCGATATATCTGCTTCTACTTCAGACTCTTAATAGCTATTTAAGACGGCAACTGTAAAAAGTGGCTAGAAATGACTACACTTCCAGATAATTTGACGCTGTCGTGAAATTCTACGCCGTTCAGCGGTAAGGATTAACCAGTGTGCACCGGGCTTTCACATTCACAGATCATTTGATGTGTAAATTATTAAATGATTGAACAAAAACTAAAACTGAACAGCTGGTCTATTTTCACAGAAATACTAAATAGAATAAATCCATTGACATTTAAATCTATAAAGCACTAAATTGTTCTACTTTTTCATCCCAAAAAAGATGATCGTCAATAAAAGAGTGGTTTATTATTAAGATCATGGGTTTATCTAGATGGTTTGGCTTACATTGTGAAATAAATATTCGTACAAGCAAAATAATTCCGTAAACCTAAAATCTCGTCCAAAGCAAATTCGGGAGCAAAAATTGTATAATAGTGGACCCAAACTACATGTACCATCAGGCTTTTCGTAAGCAACACTTGCCATGAAAAACCAAATCAATTGATGTCTGTCTAAACAAATCTGCCGTAATGCAAGAAGCAGATTTATTGCATCTGACAAGAGAGACCACAAAATTTTCAAGAAAGTGGCAGACGCAATATTTGAAATTTCGCAGCTTCAAATTTTGCTTACTTGGATGTGGTAGTTTCCAAATTTTTAAATCGATAAATGTTCCGATTTGGCTGGAGTCGGGTGCTTAAAATGCGAGACAAAATTATTTACCTTGACATATAGGTCATTCATTTTTAAAAGCATGATAGACGCTACAATACATTGGCGGTATTTTGCAATGAATGGGGCAAATTGTCATCAGAAGTATGCTTTGAGACGTTAAATTTTGGACTGAATGACCCTTTTTCTCTTCTTCGTCAAGTGTATTGCAGTCTCATGACCAATTCATAATAGCACGAGACTCCAAATATAATTTTGACACAGATGGCACCAATATCTCTCAAATTATAATGTCGAAACTAAACTGTCAAAATTCCGACTAAATGGTCATATATTTCCGTATAAAGTGTGTAGGTTAGGTCGCATTCAGCCCCATATCAATGTCATAACTTTTTAAATGCACGTCAACCCGACTAGGAATTTTGATGAAGATACCGCCCATATCTTTAAGATCTCATCAAATACATGGTAATTAAAAGTTGAAGCGGTAGTTATGAGAAAGTGTATTACGTGATGGCACATGTTATTCATGTAAATGGTGACAGAACCATGACAGTAAGAGTGCAATCAGAACGTTTTAATGACGTTCATTTTCCTGAATGAGTTCTCAACAGATCTTGTTTTGGTCTTCATAATGTTCCGCTGAAATGCGTTAATCACATCAAAATCTTATTGAACGATTTCAGACACATTTCTCATGTTTACTTCATTAATGGTTTTATAACTGACCACGTGACTCCACAAACTCTTCAAAAGTTTTCTTTTTTTATAAAAAAAAAACACTGTATTTAAGATGTAAACTGCTGGAGGAAATGCGAAGACAGATTTTAGTTAAGAATTTTTTCCATTTTCTGATAGTGAAAAAAAGGTCTAATGGCATCACGGAATTGATCTGGTTGTAATAAAATAGTGAAATTAAACGAATATACGAGTCGTTACCGTGCAACATAAAAATATAGATTGCTAGAATAGTGTTGGGAGTAAACAGTGAGGTAGCGATTGTTTGTCGTTGCACAACCACCACAAAGTCACTGAGTAAATGGGGACAGATATGATGGGCTCCCTCTTGCTCTCTGAAAATATAACAAAAATATCTTCAGTTCTGTTTCAACGATTGTGCCAGTGTAAATAACATTGTGGTTCATGAGGGACTGCGCTTGACTCATTTTAAAGAAAATAATCTCTTTGATATGAGTAAGATCTTATCTTTTGTCCTCATTTTCCGCCAAGACTCACGCGACTTTATTCCTTTAAAAGCAAGGGTCAGTACCCATTGAATATTATAGCGACTGTGTTTTAAGTACAATGACATTAATTATGCTCATTATCTCTATTTTACAGGCTGGTATTAAGAAAGACGATGCCTAAAGGCCAAGTTCACTCATGAGTAGTCTGAATTATCATTTTAACAGACGTACAAAGTCATAGCATAAACAACTAACTCTTCAGTCAGAAACAGTTCTTCAGGCTAAAATACTGAACCAAACGACAACTGTGTATAAAGATTCGTATTGTCGTCTGATACACAGATACGGATGGTGATATATACTAACTAACCAGATACACATGGTGGATGATTAATTTTCTAACTTATCAGGATGTGCTTCAAGGTGTTTCTTTTTATTCTCGTCTTTAACCTTTTTACTTTCTGTTCGGCTACAACACGACACTGGCACCAGCGTAAATAAAACAACAAAAATTCAGGGATGTGAAAAATGGAAGATATAATATTGTTTTCATTTGCTGTCCGACAACATGAAACGCATTAGGTATTTGCAGATACCGATTAAATATCTTCCAGATAAACGCACACAAGTCAATTTAGGAGATTTCGGCCTCCACGTAAAAAGAAATTTGTTGTGTAATTGTGCTTCTGAAGACGCATTGAATAAGCGTTTTTTTTGTGTGTCATATTCTTGATTATTCATTGTATTTACATGTACATGTAAAAAGCAAAGTTGTGCCACAGTTTGCTATTACTATTTGAAGCACTTCTGTTTTTGTCCCTCCATGGGTTGTCTGATCTGAGATTAACAAAGAATTTGAAAAAAGTATATTAAAATGGGCATTCTATAGCTAGAGGGGATACTTTCAAATCCCACTATAACCACCAATTTAATACAATTATTTAGAATTAAAATCGGAAGTTCAGATATATTCAAGATGTATCTCTTGTAAATCGCACAACCATTTTATTAATGTATTGTATGTGTAACATTCGTATTATAAGAGTAAGAAAAGCGCCAAAAGCGTGACGTATCACCGATTTGAAATGTACTGCCAATCAAAATGCTCATTAAATAATAATCTAAGATATTTGAGGAGATACGAGCATTTTGACTGGCTAATGTGTAATGTCTGCGTCACCGAAAGCTGTTCATATATCTTCGCTTTGCTTTCATACGTGACTATCATAAAATAATGTATTCTTTCGACTGAAAAATGAAGATGACCGTCTCATGAGAGCAGTATCCAAACCCGGCGACAATCATAGGTCAAGCTTCCAGTCTCTGAAATCTATTCCGATTGCTCTTTGTTAAATATTGTCATAATATATCCAAATGAAATCCTAATAATATATTACAATATAAATTGTTATTTTATGATGATATTAAAGATTGTTTATGTTTATTGTTGAGACAATAAAGAGAACTTTGGGTGTGTTTATTCTGTGTCATATCTAGATATTCTGGCCCTTCAAAAGTTCTTTATAAATTGGAAATTGTCAAAAAACAAGCAGTAACTGTTTAACTCTAGTGGTAGCGGGAACTAAGGTACAAATAGAGACAGACCATCGTTTCACTAATGCGGGTTTTGACATTGTCTTACTCGAGGAAGTATGGCGATATGGGGTGTGGTTTGGTCACGATGGGGACATACATACTGAATGGAGGGACAACCGTTGAGACTGAGATTCCAAATGCGGAAGAGCCATAGGCACAAGACTGCCATGGAGAGTCTGAAGAGGTTCCCCAAAGAAAAAATTAAACTGATTTGGTGCATTCTGACACCAATTTTTATATTTCTCATAAATAAAGTAGGGGCACAACTACAAACTATATATCTGGGAGAACAAATGCCGCTACCAATTAACCAATTGTTGTGTAATCCCTCGTTTCGTTGCATGGACAGCGAGACTACATGACAAACTATAAACCGAAACACTGCTTTAACCACTTGCTTGCACGGTGCAAGGTCCAACATCGGTTTGTCCGCCTCCTCTACCTATCATGTAGGCCAACCATTATACAACCACTATACAACCACCCGGCCATGAAATAGGGAAATACAAGTCCATAAAGAAGAGCATACGTTCAGTGTAAAGTTTTGATTCGAAGTTTTTGAAGTCTTTGAAAGCTAGTGTATTGTAAGCTTACATTGTGATAGCCACAGCATTATCTGATCGACTGTATGTGTAAAAATAGAAACCACAGACATCGTAAAATCGGAAATCGAGATGGCGCAAGTAAAATCATCATGTACTCCCAATACACGAACAAAGGTTATAAAATCTCTTTTGAATTTCTCTGAGAAGTGACTGTCTGATCACACACTCGATAATATAAAACATATTAATTAGGTCAAACGATTTCTGCAACTAATTGTTCAACTCGAATGGTTAAAAAATGACCTCTTCAAAAATAATTACATCATGGTGAACGAATTCAAGAGTCTTTAAGGGCCGTTCATTAACACATGTAGGATAATGTTTTACGTTTTATGATTTAAATTACTCACATAAACTATAAAGCAATAATGAACCACAAAACGAAACCAGAAATCCAAAATAACATTTGGCAAAACATTGGTAGCAGCAAAGGTAATTTACACATGAGGAAGTATATCAATCATCAATGAATTACCGGTGGTATTTCATAGTGAAAAGTGGTATTGGATGTCTAGAATAGAAAGCATATCCTGTATGACGCCTTAAACAGAGCCCATATTTCAATAACAGGTAAAAACGTCTCTGAAATTCTGATTTTCGGTGTTTCATGAAGTTATGAAAACAACTGTTTGTGAATTGTGAAATTATTCTTAATAAAATAGTTGTAATTGATTGTAGAGATGCAATTTTATCGCTATCCATTCTGCAATCTTAACTTTGAGATAGGGTCATACATCTTATATAGCCTACAATCACCTTTCTGAACTTAAGTAAACTTCACCGGTATATATTAGGTCAAAGGTCAAGTATCTATATAGTATCTAACATCTTTATATATACAACCACACTGATAAAACATGTACTAACTAATTACTGAACAGTTTATTGTGTTCTTGTGATAAACATTCCATGAACTATTGGCGAACCTTATTTCACAGAGGAAACTAGGGTTAGGAAACTAAAACAGTTTTCTTAATTTGTACCAGTGGTTAAATCAAATTCTAGAGGCTTGCTTTTATGACAGATTAAATTGAAGAGGATCTACAAAAGCATTTTGCCTACAATGGGTGGTAAGTACAGGAACTAGGTTGTGTATATATTTATACTTGGTTTAAACATAGCAATATATATGTATAATGATTTATGCATGATTTTCTCAGCCGTTTTGGACTAAATGTTGTAAAGCCCACTTCTGCGTCAATGAAATGGGTGACAATCAACTCGTCTTCGAGCTTATGAAAGATTTCAACCACCGTTGATAGGGTCGGAATTACAGTTTTAAACAAGTTGTGATATTTTTAACAGTTTGGGACACTCAACACTCCATTTTAACAATTAAACTTTCAATTAACTACAGCTGTAAATTTTTCACCATGGTAAGAATAACTCATTTTGAAAACCAAACAATAGTATAATGCAATATGTGGGTCAAGACCGTCCATTTTCCAACGTCATTTCCGGTTGTTTAAATAGATGCGTTGTCCCTTCATACGTGCTTTATAATTTCGAAATTGTCAAAATATATAATTGTTCTACCTACTTAACAGGAAGTAAAGATCAGCTGGTAAATGTTCGTGAACCCAAGTTGCTATCCTTGTAAAAAAATGGAGGTTGTTTTCTTTCTTTCCTTAGTTTGCCTTTAAATCAAAACCAAGCTCCTATTGCCTAACCCACATCTTTAGAAACCTCTGGTTTTAGGTTGAATTCTACTGTTTTTCAGATGACATAAGTAAGGTAATCAGACTGTTAACAAGTTGTACATTCCTAGTTTTTGGCGTGACTAAGTTATATCCAGTGTCTACAGACAGGTTTGAGGAACTTGTAAGTTTTCTATACAATCACTCTTAGTATGCTTCGTACTAAAATATATTCTGTGTGAAATCGTGAGCTTAGATTACATATAGTATGAACGATCCAAGGTTTGAAGCGAGGGAGTTCAATCTCCAGTACCCCTTCTTCAGCAACTATAGTACCCTTGTTAATGAATTTAAGAGATCTAGTAACACTGTACTTTCAGTAAGTTCAGTACAAGATATAGAAAGGAACATATTATGGAATATCACTCCCTGGTTGTGTTACATACGATGCCGCCCTCCCTAGACATTGGTTGCAAATAGTCAGACTGACTTTATTGAGGGACAACTGTCGAGTTTGAGATTCAAAATGGGACAATCCTGAAGAAGCGCAGAACCCCTAATGGAGCGTCTGAAAGGATACTACCCCCCCAAGATATTTTTTGAAAAATATCATTCATTTTAGGGCTAAAACGTATAGAAATCATATTAAAAAATTTGGTAGAATCTTTTAATAGAAAAGAAAAGACTAAAACGTAATTATTTCACGTATTTACAACAATATCCCTTTTGGAGTTTTGTATATTTTCAGGTAAAAGTGATAGCTTACTGTAATTTAACTGACAGAGATTCCTCTATTAAAATAATAACAACTCTAGCCTGGCTGGAAATAGGTGCTGCCTATATATTCTTCACACATCACGGTTATCATAAAGAGAAGGGGTGGTTCTCATTGTTATACCTGATTTTTATAGGCATTGTCTCCTACGTTAGACATCATACAGGAATGCTTCAATTTCCGCTCATGTTAAACGCTTACCTTGGTCTGATATTGGTTTATCAAGTGTGGCAACATAGGAGATCATTATTCTAACCAAAATATTCATTTTTTGTAATATAGTTATTGCAGTCTAATGAACAAATTGGGTCTCAACGTTCTTTCGTTCGTATTTTTTTTTTTACCTCGATTTAATATTCGATTGTCGGGTGTGACCACATAGTAAATCATTATTTTGACCAAAATATTAATTTTTGTTACATGTATGAACAATATAAATATTAGTTATGTGCAGACTGACAAAGGGATGCCAAAGAATAAACGCTGTGAAATCATGTGACATTCAAGAAGCACATTAAGTCAGTTCCAGCCACGTTGCTATCAGAGGACTAAACAAAACATACCAGTAAATACGCTCATAGAAAATAGACAACCATAGAAAATGACAATCATAGACAAAAGAAAATCGAAGAAAATAGACAACCACAGAAAATAAATAACCAAAACAAAAGGCAACCAAAGAAAATGGACATAAATGAGAAAAATTGTTGTGAGCATGTTGGAATTCTATCAAAGATAGCATATTGTACAATAACATGCAATTGAAAAAATATATATTTCTTATAAAATGTGAATATTTATTTCTAATCAAATACACTCTAACCCCGAATAACAATAAAGATGCAGTAAATTAAATTATATTACACTTTCAATTCGAACGTTATCACTCTAAGTGATAACAGATATGTAAAATTTGTGTTCTCTTCGAATGACCTTGGCCAGTAATTCTATAGAAGAGTGTCTTCTATACTACCCATTACCTCGACCATTACTTCTCTCAGAGAGTATCTTATATAATACCCAATACTCCATGCAATTAATCTAAAACTCTCAAATCTTAATTCAATTCAAACATGGTTTTGATTTCAAAGGAAGAGTTTCACGAGGTGAACCTTATTGTACCAGTACTTAAAGGATAAGGATGTTGAAATATCCAGATTTTCCAATGCCAACAAACAATCAATATCAATTCAAAGAATTATAAACTTACATCAAAGTATTCAATGATATTGATGTACTTAAATGATGCTAAAATGATTATTTAATCTTTCTTTGATGTCGCCGCTTGTGATTAATTACCTTCTCATCAGTTAATTAAAATTTACCCAAGTTTAACATCTATTAATTTTACAGGTCGATAGAGTGTGATTGCATATAGATGAAAATAATGTTTGATTCTCGCTCTGATTTTGTTTTTCTTTGAAAAATGCGAGATGAATAGATTTTAAACACCATCATCAAGTACAAATCGATGTCAAACCGGAAGTGACGAACTATACCATTTTAAACACAATATTGAATACATATCAGCAATAGCGTGCTCAAATATGGGTAAAGATGCGAATCATTCTAAGATACACAACAAAAGAGCAATTAAACTGAAATGAAAAGGGAAAAATCGCAACAATTTGTGCTTTTTCGTGAAACACGTTTCTACTTAGTTGATATATGAATTAACGCCTAGATAGGTTTTTTCAATGTTACCAATTGCAGTGATAATTGTTTCGAATTGATTAGGGTGAATAAAAGTAACAAGTTTCTGTTCAATATAAGGCGCTGGAACAGAGTTAAAGTATTGTTTATAACCATTGTGGTGTTAATAGAAGAAAGTAATTTGGAAAGGTTATTGAATGCCTACGTTTGTTCATGTAAGTGGTATTAGATCTAAGGTGTTTTTTTTTTCGCATCACCGACTCTCCCCCCCCTTTCCCCTCACTTTCAACATTTTTTTCAATTTACACAGTGAAAGAATGGAATGTTAACATTCCCGGCCCCCTGAAAAATTTTGCGGTCTCTGCTCGGCCCTCTCAACTAATGTTTCCTCTGAAAATGTTAGAACAAAAAGAGAAATACAAACACACGAGAGGCGGGTAAAAATACAATATGTGTTAAGACTAGACAAGATGGTGTAGTATGATGAATTATTTTTAAAATATCATATAAAAACCTCAACAAAATCAATTTTACCATTTACCGATCTTCATCGGCACCATTCTTTCAATAAAATATCAATTAAGAGGCAATATAAAGCAAGCAAGATTCATAAATGAATAGTGAACTAGCCCGGTAAGGAGATTAAGAATGATGTGTTCCTATTGTAATAGTTTATACGCGATGCCATAAATCGTCTAGACTCTTCATAACTGATCAAATATTGAAGAGAGAATTTAAGTAAAACTGGTCGTTTATTAGTGTTCAGGGAAAGGCTGTGACAGAATTAAAACATCATCATTATTAAACAAAATAAATAATATCCGTTTAATTTACTACAAGACATTTATTCTCATTATAATCCCTTTAGAGTTGAATTTAGCTTTTAGGTAGTTTTGATTTTTTAATATTTGACACTACACCATAAATCCAACCGCATGGGTCAACCAATCTTCACAATGTTCAAGCTATTACGTCTTCATCTTATACTTTGACTGCAATGGCCTACCTGCTTATTTCACGGACGTTTCAGAATGCATTAGTAAGTCATGCTATTCGGTAATAAAAAAGCCGACTCTCTAACGCAATTTGATTGGATTGTACGATATAGAATACAACCAATTTGAAGGACCGACAGAATGACCTTGTGGTGATGCGGTTCAACCATTTAGCCATAAGAGGAGACGGGAAATTGGTATACCACAAACTAAAAAAAGTTATTTCCGACATACATGCAAAGGTTACGAAACCGCTTTACAATTCCTTTAACCAGACTTCATCAATTTCAGTCAATGCGGAGATTTCCAATGATAATGGTGTAATCCTTTAGAAAAAGACAGAATGAAGTTATTTGACGAATGCTGTAATCATGGTAATAATATGGGATTTATAAATATGTCTGATTTAGGCCAATAGATTGCGACACATATCAATGCTATCGTTAATGTAGGGTAACATTTCCATTTATGGTCTACCTTCCTTATAATTAACAAAATCATACAAAAAATTACAAAATGAAAAAAATAGTTTAGATCTTCATTCGACCAATTTATGACAAGACGGACAGGTCGCCATTTGGCAATCCTCGACAGTTTCCGTAAATCTGAATCTCTCTCGGTAGTGAATGGTAGATTTCGTGTCTTATAGACGAGGCTCTTTACTTCCGGAATTGCTTAATTATTTGTCAAGTAATAGCAAACTTGCGACCTGAATATATAGTTCCTGGCTTTAGACACTTGTGTATGCATTTTGAATCCATATCTTACAACGTTTTTCTTTTTTTAACAAACGCGTACACTATAATCTTGAACAACTAGCCTCTGATGTTTCAACTACCAGATTCAAGTGAGTACGCGACCATCTGGACATAGGTCTGGTAAATAATGGCTGCCATTCATTACCGTGATATGTTGCAGAGCTAGCGGAACTTTCGCGATAGACCCTTTGACTGATCGTTAGATGTGAGTTAAGAAGAAGGATAAGACGGGTTATTTCCAATATTCAACATCAGACAAAATGTGGTCGAAATAAGTACATAATTGCTTCAGATTGATGCTTCTTTTAAATAATTAAAATTAATGATGGTTTAAGTAATTCTAAAATTAGCTCTCTTCCTGATCAACTCGCCCGAAGGAAGTTGTTTTAAGTACCGGGGTCATTTAACAAACTATCGAAAGGAAACTTGAGAGGAACGGTGTCTTAGTTTTGCATACTTACAGACTTTCAAGAAAAATCTTGCTGCGAAAAAATGTGTCGTGGTGCCTTAGTGTACGCAATTTATACACTTGTACATTCAGTGAATTTGGCGGTAGTAATGCAACTGTAATAACCGGGTGCACAATATTTCGAAAAGAAATAACAAAGAAACTTCATTCTGTTGCAATAAAAAAGGTAGCTAATAGTTAAGGGTTTTTTTTAAATGATCGATGATCTTCGTATTGTGACAAATTGCAACCATCGCCAATTTTATGTCTGTGCCACTACATGTACAATATACTACATTTACTCATCATGTATTATTACTCTGGGTGGAATTTCGTAATGTGTTCATAAATTCGATAACGAAGTAATATCTCTTTGTTAAGAAAACAATGAACTTTCCTATCTAAACGTTCCATGATCATTGAAACTTACTATGGCCACTTATATAACTTTATGATTGTTTGGTTATCTGATTTTAAATGTCATAACTTAGGAAAAAATCTATTAACAAGAATCAATTGTGGTCTTATTCAAATATTGACTGTGAAGTCATAATAGTGTGTATTCGACATTCATTTAGAATTGATAATGAAATGGAGTTTTGTGTCCTACTTTTGTGAACCTGATTGAGCTAATGAGAATGGAAAACGCCCGCAGTGTGCAACGATGGAAATTTGCCTGAACAATGGCATTAGCCTAAACCGTCGAAAGATATCATACAACACCTTGGTTTATTGTTCCAACCGAATGACTGGTCGCTTCTACCTTGTCAGCCCCTCCTTCCCGAATCACTGACTGGAGGACTCGAGAATATAATTTTTCACCTATTCCAGGATCGAACCTCTGGACCTTTAGGTTATTTGACAAGTGTCACCATCTCAGAGTCATTTACAGGAAATTTTGCTGGTTCTGTTAAATGTGCTGTGGGTATCGCCAGCACGAGTTGATTTTCGCAAGATCTTAAGGTTACTTTCTTAACGACATCCGATAACTGTAAAACATATGTCGAGGACTCATCAGACAACACCGAATTTTGTTCATTTTCACAATGTCAAGGTATTACGAACTTCGTTATGCCTTGCTATGTTGAAGATGGCTTTACGCACACGCGTGTTATTTATATTCATTTTTCCATTTCATCTCATTATCTCATAATCTGTTAATAACATAATTTCGCCAATACTTCATTCTCAGTCATTAATCCAAAATCAAAGAAAAAAGTCATAGGATTTCATAGGCGTACGTAGTACATAAATGGGTGGCGACAACATGAAGTCAACAAAGACCAGCTTAAGATCCTTGTGATCCTTTGGTCTCCTGGTGAGCGACACCTACGCAAAGTTGTGGTTCCTTGACCGGTTATAAAAGTGATAATAATAAATAAAATACTCATGTGAAGGTGCACGTAGGTATGATAATCGGATGATCTATCTTACATAGAATAATTTGACGAGTCATACGTTTGCTAACAGGTGTAGTAACGTCATTATGCTCTATGTTACGAAGAGAAGATCGTTGGTTCTTATTCGATCAGCACGTAGATTTCACAGGTTATCTGGTCTATTTCTTTACATCAGTGACAATTATATCTTTCGTATGGTGCGATGTGAAGTTAATCAAGTCCCATTTACACAGTGTTGTGGACAACATTGGTATAAAGAACATTAACAAGTGTTGTGAACAACATCGATTGGAATATCATTAACAAGTGTTGTGGACAAAATCGATTTAAATAGCATTAACAAGTGTTGTGAACAACATCGATTTAAATTGCATTTACAAGTGTTGTGAACGACATCGATTTAAATATCATTAACAAGTGTTGTGACCAACATCCCTTTAAATCTCCTTTAAATCTCATTTACAAGTATTGTGACCAACTTCCCTTTAAATCTCATTAACAAGTATTGTGACCAACATCACTTTAAATAT